ATGCAGTTCTGCAGTGAGGGCAGGTATGTGGAAAGAGTAACCAAATTTAAAAAGAAGGAAGAAAGCTAGCAGGACCATCTCTGTCTTTAGAGGCACACGTGTGCCAGGCTGTGAAAGAAGTATTTGAGATGAACTTAGACATGCATTCAATTTTTGTTTTTTAAATGTCAGGCTTCTAAAATATGCTTGTGGTTTGACAGGCCAGTTTAGAAGATAACCTCATAAGGCTTTTTTCTCACTCACCATGTGTGGTCTGAATATTTTTTGGCATAGGATTTTGTGTTAGAAAGATGGTCATTTGTTCTTGGGATCTGTCTGGAAGGAGTGGACAGTTCAGGCTAGGCTGTCAGTTCCTTCAATTCCAAGAGGATGAGACAGTAAAAGAGTCAGTGCTGCACATCTCAGTCACCAGCCAATTCATGGAGGGTACCTGCTGTCATTCCCTCCCCTTGCAGGCAGAGGACAGCAACCCAGGGAGTCCCTTATCTCCAGAAGGTGGGAGGTAGAGTCTACAGCAGAAAAGCAAGCTTCCACATCCACTGTGAGAACCAGACACTCAGCAACATTCCTCCTGTTGACACTGTGAAGAAATTTGAAACTGAGAATGGGTCTGCTTTGCCCCATTTATATTAACTGGGCTAATGGCAAAAGGCAGAGAAGTTCTCTTTCATCAAGGCACAGTCCCTGTTAGTATTGTGGCTTGAGTAATCTTGCATATTGTACAGTAGAAGTAATATTCATTTATCTTATCTGAGTTAGATAAATCCTGGTCTACTAAGATTTTTGCAAGGTATTGAATATCTTGGTTAAAATAGTATAGAATGATGAGGTGCAGCTGATTTTAGTAATGGAGAGACCACGTGCTGTGCTCCTCTGGTTCAGCAGCTGTCAGTGGGGGAGCCTTCTGGAACTTCTGAAAACAGGTTCAGGAAGCATAGACAGGACAAAAAAGAAGGAAACTTTTACTTGTTGGAAGTGATGAGAAGCTTCCAGGGCACTTTGGATAGAAGATGTAATCTGATTTTTCTAAACTTCTGCTCCAACCTGGACATGATTTATAATGGTAACATCTTCATTTTCTCATTCTGCTGCTGAAAGAGCAATACTACCAGAGATGAGTGTTCAGCTTAAGATGGGGGATGTGGTATTAGTTGTGTGGGAAGCAGAAATCTTAGAACAGAACCATTTTTAGTTTGGGCAAAGATGTGAAAAGTGGGGTGGCTAAAGTGAGGTGGATTCTGAACAGAAGCAAGCAAATGTTTCCAGTAAAGACAGTCAATTAATTGTGGAAACAAATTGCAAAGACCAGCTCTCTGTTATTATCAGTTCAAGAATGGAGCTTAGAGGGGAAAAGAAGTCTGAAGAAACCCTTTACTCCTTAGAGGAAACCTTTAGGATAAATAAGAAACCCTTATTCCTTCCTTAGAGGAATTAAATCAGGGATGCTGAAAGTCAGAACAGATAATCCCAGTGGTCCCACCTGGACTGGCCTAGGTATGTCTTTGAAGTATTTCTCCAAAGCAGTTTGAAAATGTATCCTCCTGTTACCTGTTGCAAATCAGTATAAAGAAATGAAAACTAGGACAGAAAGACAGAATACTTTAGTTACAATAGACTTCCTTTATAAATTGGGTTACTGATCAAGTGATTAGCTCATTTTAGCAGTTTTATGGATATCCTATTTTTGCTGCTTTTTAATCCTAATAAAGATACCAGCTCTGAATACAAGGATAAAATTGAGTTGTCTCTGGGGATATTTTCCCTGTCTTAGTTTTGTGAATAGAAATATAGATTAACGCTAAAACCAACCCCAGATAAATGATGTTCAGAAAAGAATTACCCTCCTAAAAATAGGGGAGGCAAACATTGGACTATAATAGCAGACCATTAACTCCATCAGAGTTTTCTCACTGCATTTAAGGATAGATTAGGATCATATTGCATAAAGACTTTCCTCTGAACCTTCACAGTGGATATATGTTTTGAAGGTGTATTTTCAGGGTCTTCTGGTGTGCTGAAAGGTATTAAGCTCAAAATATATTGATGCTGAAGTAGTCTGTTGTGTAAGACTACAAACACTTTCCCAAACTGTTGTATGAATAGCCACAAACCAAATTTTTCTGAACATGGTACCTCTGACAATGGGATTTCTTTTTCCAGGTTTCTCTCAGGTGCATCAAATGCAAGAAACCTTGGTAGCAGCAAGATACTTCACAGAGATTATTATCCACCTCTGTAGTTTGTCAAGTGAGGATGTATTTTTCTCCACTGGGCTCCTGACAGGACAGGCTGGTGAGGAAGCAGGGACTGACACTGCTGCTTGTGCCATGCTGCCTTTGCTCTGTGTTGCAAACTCTGGCAGCTTTTAGGGCTCTGGGGGAGCCCAGATGAGAGCTGCAGGCAGGACTGTGAGGCTGACGCACTTCTGAGGCACAGATCCAGTGGCAGACAGAGACAAAGGTCTGTGGTTTTCTTGGGGAATAATCAGCTGGCTTCTGTTGTGACAGATGCTCTGAGCATCCCTCTTAAACAACAAGGCGTGATTTAATAGGATTTTAAATACAACTAATGCTCTTGTTTCAGTTTATAGGCCTGAATCAAATAAATTGGGGAGGAGAAAATGCTAGTTTTTTGGCTTGAAATTTTCAGGCTATTTTGTTTAGGTTTATGCAGCTGGTACATCGACAGCTGATAACTCATACAGATGTCATATGGAGAATTGTAAAGCTTATGGCTAAAAAAACCAAAAATGCCAATTTGCTTCACTTCAACATCTTAATTAGTTTTATAAAAATAAAATGAGGCATTAGGAAATCTGTGGTTGTGGAAGAATTCTAATGGTGTGAACTGTAAAATGATAGGGATCTGACTAAATCTAAGTTGCTCAGTTTACAGGGAGAGAGTGGCTGAAAATGGGTCCATGTGGATACACCTCTACTGATTCATATCCTGGCTCTGAGAATGGAGCACTGTGGTACTCTGGAGCTGTTTGAAGAATGGTTGCTGGCACAGTCAGCTTTGGCCAAGGCTAACTTAGAGTCTCACAAGCAGCCCGTGGCCATGATTTAAATGTTACAGCATGCCAGGGATCGTTCCCAGTGTGCAGTTTGCAAGCAGCAGCTTTGGGAGACTGAAGGTCTAATAGCTTTGGCCAGAGGATGCCAATTGCCCTTGGGGCCAGAGGGCTGGCCCAGCCACTCTGGAGTTTGCTCGCTGCTCTGACCAGTGCAGGAAGGATTTCATGTGAGTTTTGGTCGCACTTCACCATGAGGAAGTGATCTCTCCCGCATACAATTTTAGACATCTCTTTTATTTTCAATCAGATATTTAATATTTGTGGTAAGAATAGCTCTGTCTCTGCCTCTTTTGTGTTCTTTTGCAGCTTCTTGTTGAAAGACAGAGAAAAATGTTTTTGTCTTCCACTTCTACACTTTGAGTTTTCAGGGACTTAGTAAAAGGCATGTTGCCTTTGGTACCACCAGTGATGATGATGCAGTAATTTTGCTGTTGTTGATAATGCCTTACTTGCATGCAAGTTTAGGAGCTACCTTCTCTATGAAAAAGGGATTATTTCACATATGCCTAATAAACTGTACCAGTGTGTGCAAATAAAGGAAAAAGAATGAGATATCGTGACACAAATTTACTGTGCAATCCACTTCTTAAGAAAGGCAGTGATAGTTTCAAAGCTTTGTATTTGTAGTTCCTTATTTAAAGGAGATAAGAATTCCATCAGTATTGCTACAAAAATTATGTATTTTTGTGGTGCATTTAGATAGGTATACTTGCTTGTGTGACAGGAGCAACTAGCACATGCATTTTGAAAATCCTCTGATTTCCAAATAGTATCTAGGTCGTATGATACCCACAGGCATGATTCATCCACCTGGGCTTTATGCCAGCCAGCAACTGCATGGATATGACACTCCAGGAATACTGTAAAATTATTAAAGCTGATTTTTTTTTTTTCACATAACACTGTGATGATAGCTGTAAAAAATATGGCACATAATTTATAGTTCCTTTCTGAAAGTATTAATTCTATTAGGTTGATGCAGAAAGTACACAGACTTTCACTTCAAAGCTTGCTGTCTTAATATCAAGTCCTGTTGGAGGCAGAGGTTGTCTTTACCTGGGTGTATCTTCTTGAAGCCCAGCTAGCTCTTAAGTGCTGATCTTAATATCATAGAGTTGTTAAGGTTGGAAAAGACTTCTGAGATCATTGGGTCCAACCAGTGTGGTTAAAAACTGCCAGTGTTCTGCCCCTTTGTATAAAGGTGATAATCTCTTTGAGGGGCGGAAACCTCATACATTTAATACAAACCTTGTGTGGGCTTTTTTTTTTTCCCAAAAAAGTTAATTTTCAAGAGATGACATCATGCTTACTTTCAGGCATTATGCTGACAGACACTCTTAGGTAAATATTCAACTATTCCCTTGCTTGGGAAACTGTTGAGCTATATTTTAAAAAATGTGTAGGTATCAAGAAAAACAAAAATGTGTGTAGCTGGGGTGGGTTTTTTCAGATGTACTGACATGTTCATCTCAATGAACACTTTTAGGAGTAAGTTCTTCTGAGACTTGCCACGTTATTTACCTTGCATTTTTAGGTGCCTGTATACTTTAAAAATGTAGCCCCTAATGTATTTGAAAACCAACTGCTTCTTTTTACTTCTGCTTCTGAAGAGACTCTTACAGTTTGCTTTTTAAAAATATCTTTTTAAAGACTGAAATTACCAAAGCTGAATTAAACAGACAGCCTTATACAAGTGAGGTGAAGAAGTATAACCTTTGCCATCATATAAGGGAACAGCAATGCTTAACTTTTATGAATTTAAAACTGAAAACAAAAATTTCTCCTTTGTCTTTCTGAGGTTGTGACTTCCCATCCTATGAAAGTGGGGTGGGAGAGGAGGAATGTTCTCAGATTTGTAAGCATGTCTGTGTTATGGAGGACTTGCTCTGACTCTGAGTTTTTTAATTTTCCTTCTTCCATCTAGATAAAGAAGAGGCAGCAGGATGTGGTGAGGTTTCTGGAAGCCAACCGCATAGAGTTCGAAGAAGTGGATATCACCATGTCCGAGGAGAAGAGACAATGGATGTATAAAAATATTCCTGAGGACAGGCAGCCTGCACAAGGCAATCCACTGCCACCGCAGATATTCAGTGATGATCGGTACTGTGGGGTAAGCAGCTGTTGTGCTTCTCAATATATTAGTATATATATTATATTACATACAATATATTAGTTCATTATATACAATATTTTAGTACACTTAGCTGGCCATTTATACATGGGACTTGCTGTTGAGCTTTCTCTAGCAGAATCTGAATTAATGGGACAATAGGATCAGGTAATGATCATACCGGGAAAATTCAAGGTATTTTTCTGTAAATCCTAGGGCTGTCTAGGGGATTCCCTCCAGGAATGTAAAAATCAGAGATGTCACAACCTTCACGTACGACCTGTTGATGGTAAAGTGCCTGGTGAGACCACTGTAAGCTGGGAATTTGTGGTAATCTTGCTGCTTGGGTCTAGTCCAAGCACAAAAATTCAGCAGGAAGTCTGTCTTTGGCGCAGTAAATGAGAACACTGGCTAGATTGAGTTTTATTGTTATTGTAATTAAGCTCCTTCTCTGCTGCTGTCATGGTGTAAATTTCATTTATGCTCAGAGCGTCTTTATGCAATCAGAGCGTTTAGGATAAATGAGCACTATTTGCTGTAAATCTGACTACAGGTTGATGGGTGGGCTGTTTTTTTGGTGTGAGCTTCTCCATCCACCAGTGCAAGCTGAAGCAGTAGCCTTTGATATGTACATCCAGAGTGGTTCTGACTTAGTCCCTGCTGGATTCAACTGTGCTGCTCAGATCTGTTGAGAGCCTGTTGACTGCAGTGCAATTGTTTGCCTAATGCAGGAAGGATATAAAAAGTGATTTAGGATCCTCTGCAACAAAGAGATTGGGTATGGTGCAGCAGCTAACTGGTTTCTCGAAGCAAAGTATTTAACATCCTTCCCATGTGCTGTGTATTGGCCTTCCTTGTTTACCTCAGCAGTATAACTCTTATCTTCTTATTTCCAGGTAAGGTAAGTCAATCAAAGAAATGTATCTGGGACGTGAAAGGGATTATTACCCTTGCTTATGGATCAGCCCCTCGCTTACAAATAACAACCTTTACATTCTTCTGTGTCAATGTAGTTTGCTTGGGAAACACAACATTTTAAAGCTGTTGTATCTTACCCTTTCAGATTGCTTTTACTTACAGAGTGTTTTAACCTAGTCTTAGAAGTTGCTATTTGGAATTAGCAAGGCAGAAGATGTCATGCAACATGTGAGATGATCTCATTAATCTGTCTGCTGAGCTGATAGCCATTTTGGTTGAGCAGAGTTAATCCTATTACTAGACTTCACTGTCTGCATGAACATCTTTAAAGAGCAAACATGCTTTGAAAGAAACTATATTTTTTAGTATGAAGAGAAAAGTATGTGCAGGATCTCCAACATTCATGAGTTAACCTGCTGCATTAGTTAATGAAGTTCTTAGGTAAGAGAGTGGAAGCGAAACATTATGCAGAAGGCAAAGGAGGTCAGTGCTGGAAGGGGGATAAAATATTACAATCAGATAGAAGTCAGCAAACCTTGCACATCTTGTCTCTGTCATTTCCACATTGAGTGTTTTCATGTGTTTATCTTGACATAAATAACTAAAGCATAATCTCTACTTAAGTTAACTGAGTAACTTAAACTGAAAAAATACTGAATTTTCTGTTAGTTGAGTTAGTGAAATTTGTAGCTTGTCATTTCTGATTTGTGTCCAGGCAATGTTTAATCCAGTTTTATCTATTCAAAAACTCTGTCTGTTTTTCTGCATTCTACAGTCTTATCAGGAGACTTTCTATGTACTTATGCTGTTTTTTGCATTGTTGCTGAAGTTCACACTTATGATACAAACTGGTCAGGCCCATTGCTGTTCTTCTAAAGGTGTGAGGGCTAGACAGTGCAAAGCAAAATAGGTGCACTTTTTATTTTTGTCATGTTATTTCCATAGAAGTTCATGAGCATATGATGTCCATGACTCGATGTTATGTTCATAGCTATACTGGTTTTTTTATGTTATATCAGCATTAATAGTTTTGGCATATATTTTCTCACTATTTTCTCCTTAAAAAAATAAACCTCAGCAATGTGCACAAGGGGTTTATCTAAGACTAGATTTTCCTGGCTAGGACATGAGCATTTGAAATAATCACTTTTCAGGATGTAACTGCAGGCTAGAGGAAGTTTGTCTTTCATGATTTCAGTAAATATCCAAAATGAATTTGTGTCAACCATTTGAACATCTGACAGCTGATGTTGGAGGGGAGAAAGGTGCCAAAAGATGATCAATGTTTTCTGGTTCACAGAGTGTCTTGTACCACGGGGGGAGGGATTCTTCTGGTACCGAGAGGCAAACTGCATGTTTTGAAGTGTGAGCAAGACCTCGTGGTTTTTCTGAGTTGATGTAATTGCAGATACAATCATTAATCATTAATCTATTTCTTCCTCTTCTCAATCTACTGAGATGCACTCCCAATTTTTCAGTAACAAGTTATGCTAATAGATTTTGAAACAAAGTACTTGGCAAGAACAATTTTTATTTCCTGTGAACAAGATAAGAGCTGCAAGCACACAAGAACACAAATAATTTTACTGATAATTAGGTGCTATGTTATACTACCAACAATATGATAATTTTCATATTTTCATGACTTTGCAGTCTGTTGTTTCATCTTAGTGACATTGCTATAAAGTAGTGTGTGAGAACAGAGTCTACCTTTCAGACAAATCAGACACATGATCCTGCTTTTCAAATTTATAGTAGTGTAAATCTGAAATTAGTATAGTTGTCTTGTTCTAGTTAGTGCTCTGTAAGAGTGAGGAGATGTTAGTGTCTAGTGCTTGTTTCTGGAGAAAATGCATGCACTTTGCATAAAGAATAGTAAAGTGGGGTTAATTTGGAGAAGAGCTTTAATCAGATCTGGTAGGTTGCGTTGTGTTTTTGGGCACAGGAATCAGTTTTGTCTTGCCCAGTTCCTTGCCCAGGTCATCTTCAGTCAGATTTAGTAGCTCCTGCTATAGCACTTTGACCTACAGCTCAATCCACTCAAATTATGGATTATATTCACCCAAGAAAATAATCCCATACTGTGTTTCCCAGCCACTGTTCTCCACAGCAGAGGGGCTTTACCCACCTGACTTGCTTGGTCATGGTGGATGTTTCACACTCATGGATAACCTGTTCAGTGACTCCAGTGGTGAGGTTCCTCCCCTTGATCGTGATCCTGTCTCTACGTTGCATCTCCTTCTAGGTGTCCTGATGTGTCACAGTCCCACTGAGCTGTGGTCAGCTTGTCCTTACATTCCCAATCCAGGTCCCCTGCAGCCATTTCAGTTCTGGCAGCCTGGTCTGCCTGTTCCTTGTTTCCATGTTCTTTGGTGACATGGCTCTTGGGTATAGGAGTATCTACATAACGTCCTTTATAAAGCTTCTCTACCCGGGCAGCAGTGCCCAGATATTTAAGCAGAAAGCCAGAAATGCTGGAAAATTGAATGTCTGAAATTAGGCCTATGCCTCACACCTCCTTCTTTTTGAATTCTCCACAAGCTGAGTACACTTTCTTAGACTAGAAGTGACTCCTTCCACTCTTTCAGAAGACTGGAAATAGCCACTTGCCAGTGAAACTGCACTCTTGTGAAGCTGCAAGTTAGCACTTTGAACAGTGACAGTTTTATATGCAGCAATCTGCCACTGAAGGGAGATGGCCTGAAATTTAGGCCAACCAAAATTAAAAGGAAATCTATCTCCAGGTGGGAATTTGAGCCAAAGGGAAAAAGGGAAAATATTTACATAGCAGGCTGACTCTTTTTTTTTTCCCTTTGAAGCTGTTCATATGGTTTAGAGTGTTATGGTAATTCCTGATAGAGTGCCTAGTGAGCAGCAGTAGAGACAGAGATATGTGATATTTATTGTCCTCCCCTGAAATGTAATATATGGATGTCAACTCCAACAAAACAGCAAAGGCATATAGACAAAAAAGAAATGAAATAGGCTGCTGAAAGAGGTGCAGTGTTCTTGGGAAACTATTCAGTACACAGACAATTATTGTAGCCCTGATTTCTTTGCACTGTTATGTATCATTCTATTCTGGGGGTTTTTAAGATCATGAAAAGATGCATGCATGCTTCTTTTTCTTCCTTTTTTGTAGGTGTCACATTACAACTAAATAACTGCTCACTGATAAAAGAAAGAAGAGAATTTAACAAAACTGACTAGAGGCCACCTCAGATTTTCTGCCCTGGCTTGTCATTGGAGAGTTTGTTATTATTCTGTGCCTACAGGTACAGAGAGCTTGAACTCTTCCTCTGCATACTCGGGCAATTTGGCAGAATTCACCTTAGCCTGCGTGCTGTTGTGTGTTCACTTTAGGAGCTAGAGGAGTTGTGAGGCTAATTTGGTATCCAGCAAGTCTACATTTGATTCTCTGCACCCTGCAGATGTCTTACCTGATTCACTTAGCAATTTTTTGGTCCCAACCTGCTTTTAGAAGAGGGATAATTTTGCTAGATAAAAGTTAATGTGAATTACTCAGGGATCATGTAACATTTGTTAATGGCTAATGATGCTAAAACTTTCTTGACTAATTATTTTTGCCATCAGAAGTAGAGTTTCCTGTATGGTAAATTTAAGCTTTGTGTGAAATTGTTCTTAATTATGTTTTGCAGCTGTGTTGCAGCTGTTTTTGGCTCAGAGGCACCCACAAACCCTAGGCTGAATGTGACTTGAGGCCAGTGGCATGTACTGTTTATCTTCCTGGTTAAGGCTTTGTCTCAATGAGGAATACAAAAGGCTGGTGTTGGAAAGCAACCCCTGGCCAAGAGTCTTCTCCATGTTGGGAGGATTCTGCTCAGATCATTCACAAGGACTGCTTACAACTTTCAGACTATGCCTATGCTTTTGCCATCCAGTTCTCCATTGCTTTTCTGTGTCCTGAGGAAAAGAGCTTTAGTTCTGTGTAATATGTACTTTATAAAGGGAAATGTGGTACCAGAGGCAAAGTGTAGAGTAGCCAGCTTGCCCAGTGCCAGGGCTTAAAAAATAGAAGCTCGGCAACTAAGTAAAAGTAAAATAATGCAAGAATTTTATTT